ATAGCATTTAGCTGCCAAATAAACAATTTGACTCCAATCAAAACCAAGTTCTTGAATTTTTAATTTGCGAAGGATGTTATAATTCGGCTATTCCGCTAAAATTGTGTGTGTGTTTTTTTTTAACTTGTTTGTGTTCATATGTTTATGTTATATGTATAATCTTGCATACAGTAGGGTTCATTAAAAAATTGCTAAAAACCAATTTTTTTAGATGATCGTACTAGGTTTATCCCTTAAGTATCGACTGACTTCTTCCAAGTGTTTTGTCTCATTTTCTTAGTAAGATTCCTCAGTTATTTCAAATTGACTTAACTTTAACACGAATATTTTGAGCGAGTAATAGGTGTGTTAAAGAGAAAATGCCTACATGTGATACAGATGAGGTACATATCTTATTCTGTATTAAAAACTGATCTTTCTATCTCCTTCAAGTTATAATACATACATACATATACTGTATAAGAACATAAACTTCAGTTGCATCTGCTTCATTTTAGGGGTTATATCCACTCGTAATTTTGAAACATCATATTTTGAATGTATATATATTAGAGAATTTGTTTTGCAAATTTCAAAGTAATCTGGTAAATAGTTTCRGAGTATTTGTAAAGACGTCTCCGAGCGTTTGAAAGTAGGCGKAACCGTAACCCGGATTAGCARCAAAACTTTAAATGCGTTTTTCTCCAAACGATGTTTTTAAAGTCGGTKAAGAAAGTTTTTTCGAAACGGCTTGAAGGATTGAAATTTTCACAGGAGCTTCTTAGATGCTTTTGTCAGGTAATGATCGAAGAAATAAAGTTGCTGATAAAAATTTCTAATGTCATTTTAAAGTGTAAATTTCCAAGCCAAATATTTTTTTGTTGGGAAGCCGCCATTTTGTATACAATCAAAATTTTGACCATTTCTGCGATCATTAACTGTATTTATCTATTAAATGTAATCCTTTGGTTTTTTATTTCAGATAATTTGGATGAGAGATATCTTTTTCACTACCTTTTGTGAAGGACTTTCATGAGATCTTCTACAGGAACGACGGAACCCAATATTTTGATTAACAAAATATGAATTCTTAAAATGCGTTAAATTCGCTAAATGTTCGCATATTTTATGTATATATTCAATAAAAAACCTCTCCAGAAAAAATTAACAAAAAAAATGTTTAACTTACAAGTGCATATAATCACTTTATTTTTCAAGGAATACTTGTAGTAGCACATCATCCGTTGAAACTTCTGTCAATTAGCGCCAGCTCGCCACCTGATTAATACCTACAGAATCGGACAAAACATTTGCAACAGGAATATGGAAATGAAAATACAGTCGATTACACAGAAAATAATTGTCGGAGACTTACTATTTTTATTTTATTATAAATATTGGATATTAATTAATCTAAACAAAGCAATTTTAATAATATTTTTCGGCTTATTTGTTTAATGTATGTATATAAAAAACGAAATAATATACATATATATTCAATAAGACAAAACAATGCAACTCAAAGAAAACTGTTCCCAATTTTTAAGAAAATAAAAGAAAAACTTTGTACTTTGYATCAAACTCATTACTCTCAATAACTGCTTTGCATCGCAGCGGCATTGAAGCTATTAGGTTATCCACTATGATTTGGAGTAWATTCTTTTATTCAATTKGTTTATAATTTCCCATAAACTTTATATGGGATTAAGGCCTGGGGACTGTTTCATCCACTTTATTCCTCTGTAACCACGATTTTGGGACCTATGCCATATGCTTCGGGKCGTTGGCCTGGTGGAAGACACACTTAAGTGACATTTCCCAATCAGCATGTGGCAACATTACGGATTTCATAATGTCTCTGTAAACGTACCGATCCAAGCTACCATTAATACCACGAAGCGGCCCCAAACGAGAAGCAGAAAAGCATCCCGAGACAATAACATAGCAACTATGTTTAACCGTTTTTAGACAATAGAAATTTTTCAAGATTCCTATTATTAGATGGGCGTCGAACGAAACTCTCGCCATCACTTCCTACCATCACGAAATAGTTTTCCACTTGCTTATTGGCCATTTTTGACGATTTTTTGCGAACACAATAGTTTTAGTTGGTTACGTTTACTAATAAGCGGTTTCTTCGCTGGTSGGTAACTGTGTAAATCAGCGTTATTTATGAACCACCGTTCTTGAGTATATTGGTAACCCAAGCTCCTTTACCAATTGCRGCTCTTACAATTGAGCTGCCAGTTTTTTCATCAGTTTTTCTTRGTCGGCGACCCCGATGCACTACTTCCTAATAAAGTTCGAAATTGTTTGTAAGACTAATGACTTGTGAAYTCTGTACTTTATAGAAATTTCTGTTTGAGAAGTTCCGTTATTATATTCATCAATAACACGTGCTCGGAGTGCTTCACCGAAGTTATTTAGAGCCATTACTTTTTTTTGTAAAAAAATTTAAACTTAAAACGTGTTTTCGCAAAAATTCAGAGCAGAAATTATGCTCAGTAAATGTTCCAATTAATTCACACTCAATACCGTTAGAAGAAGATACGAACCAAGAAGAAAAGAAACGAACAAAACRGAGTTGCAATTGTTTTGTCGCGACTGATTGGTATACATTTGAAATTGTTTTCAAATATAACCGGCAAAATAAAAAAGATCGCGATAAACATTGCAAAATATGTAACTTCAATRCTCTAAATTTAAAATCAAGAAACMAAAAGCATTTCGAAGGAAAAATGACATTGTAAGACAAAAATATCTAGAACTTCGCTCTAGTTGCAAATGTTTTGCCCGATACTGTATATTATCAAATAGGCCTGACTTCACATATTTAGGTMGTTTCGCTTACTTTTGTTTATGTCGAAATACGACCTTTAAATGGCGCCATATCCAGCTATTCTTTCCGTTGTTTATCAGCTGATATCTCTTCAACAAGTTTCATTCAATTGCGTACGACAACAGTTAATGAGTTACATAATTACCGGCGGGTAACTGTTGATATGATGAGTTTATAAGAGAGTGGGTAGTKGCAAGCATTGATCTCTTACGTGAGCAGTTTTTATTTACATTTACTCRTGTTGGTCGTCAATGTATTTCTCTGTTGATTTTGTTAACAGTTAGTAAGCTTACAAAGCAAGTTAAAAAGACAATGTGTAGTATGGAATAACGTTAACGTRTAAATAAAGCCAAGTTAAAGTTCTCAAATTTTTATGTTATATGGTAGTGAGAAAGATTTTAACAACAAATTAATTGTGGAACGAGCAAGCTCGAAACACTACGGTAAGRTTTTAAAATGTGTATATGCTGGCATAACTTTCATAAAAATTGATTAGCGGTTCAATCTTTCTCCGTATTCATGAAGGAGATTTACTACCAAGGATGATGATAATATATTTATAATCCTCTAAGTAGCTATTAAGATAATTATATATGTATGTACTACCAACGTTTTCATATATATGAACAATAGTAAATATTGAAAATGTTAGAGCATATTTTGAAATTTTTAACTAAAATTTTTATTATATGGTATTGCCTGAAGAGATTTATATTATATATATCAGAGATATAAAAGGTAATTTCTCCGTTTTTCGAAGTACGCCTCCAAATTTAAAATATTTGCCTTCGAATCAAACATTATGGTATGAAAGTTGCTAAAAAGTAAAAATATGGACATATAAAAAATATTTCTGTTAGATCTTCGAAAAAATACTTTTCTACGTACATCTTAATCACAAATTGGTTTGATACATGCTATTTAAAAATTAAAATAATTTGTTTTCGAAACATTGGGAACACTTCACATTATTTCATTCAGTTGTCAGTGTCACATAATGGATCTTAAGGACTTGAAAATCCATGTCTTCAATGGCCTCTAARGAGGAGAGATTCCGAGTTCGCATACTCTCGTCCCACAACCTGAAGTCAAAATTATTTTAAGTAGCGAGCTTCTTCGAAATTTCAATTTGTACATTTTTGTTAACACTTTGAAGGAAAAAGCCCTATTTTTTATAAAAATAGCAATTGACTTATTATCGTGAAACAAAATTAAGAAAATGTATGAGGCGCTCCAACTTTGGAAATGTGAGTTGTTAACTTTTGAATCTGATGTAAAATGTTAGTAAAAGGAGTATAAAAATTTCTAMTTACTACGTCAATTTTGCTAGTATCGAAGTATTTAATCATGCACATATGTTTATTACAGGGGTTCAAGCGCCTCTCCAGGCAGTTTTAAGAGATTACAAAGCCACCACTTGGCAATAGAAGCTCAAGAAAATAAGAGATTGTAGTGTGTGAGCGTCAAAAAATATTTTTGGACGAAAGATGGCAAAAGTCTTTCGTTTTCTGCTTTATGGAACTCTCTTATACACATCTAGATGTGTATAAGAGACAGGCTTTAAGAGATTACAAAGCCACCAATTGGCAATAGAAGCTCAAGAAAATAAGAGATTGTAGTGTGTGAGCGTCAAAAAATATTTTTGGACGAAAGATGGCAAAAGTCTTTCGTTTTCTGCTTTATGGAACTCTATACAAAAAAAATATAATAAAATAATGTATACATATGTATATATAATACACATATAATACTTTCAACAAGAGGTCTTACAGAMTACCACAATAGGTACCACTGTAGATAAAGTTATGTATTATAAGTTGTTGCAACAGTTTAAGCCTCACTTGTCTTACTGTTACTGCTTGGTTTGGTCTGATTTATAACGGTATACACTTTTAAGCTGCTCACTAAACTGGAAACCGTTTGTATTCATTTTAACAAAAAGCTCACTCAAAGACTGTTACCCAATCAGAGTAAACCAAAGCAGAGCGCAGAACTCAGCATCAGTGTGCTCTTTATTTTTTATTGTCTAACCGTTGATCGACTACTTTTTGGGGGGCATGTTTTTATTAAAAGTTTATTTAGTTGCACATTGTTGGTGTGCGCATGTGTCTGTGTGTTAGCTTTGTGGGAGCGCTGAATTGCGCTTGGCCTTCGTTGGTTGGATCAGTTGGAGCTACACAGCGTCGTCGAGCGGTTCGTTGCTGCGAATGTGCGGTTGCGCATTGACAACAGTTACGAAAATAATATTTTGTTGTTGCTAGCTTATTTTGGTACTATACAGAGCGTGTATTTCCGCAAAGAACTCCGAAAATTACGGGAAAAGTGACTAATTATTGGTGGTTTATTTATAGCGGCGCGCAACAAGTGTTTCTGGTATTGCAGACAATAAAAGTGCATTTACATTTTTTAAGAAAATTCCATTCTGCTTATGTTGTTGCAACAACTTTKGTGCTGTGTAAATTTGATTTTCTTTTATTCGATTTTTCACTTGCCTTTGTGTATATTTATAAGTAAATACATACATATACATATGTATGYATGTATATCTATGTATATGCCTGTGTGGATTCGCAAGTTGCGTGCACGGCGAAGTTAAATAGTTTTTTGTTGTGTTTATCGCAGTCACAAAATTTGATTCTTACCGTTAAGCTGTTCAATTACTTTGCATATCGTGGCAAAGTTGCTTTTGTATACACGTGTTGTTGCTGTGTTAGTACAATGAAATCGTAAACGCATGTGCAACATTTTGGCTCGAAGCGTAGAAACATTTGGCACAACCATAAATCACAAGCTTGCCTCGGTGCCAACAGCAACAACAAGAACAACWACTATACTTATACGCCTGTTAACCGTGTGGTGATATTGCAAGGTAATTGACCCAATTTGTGTTTGGCAGTGCTTTATGCTTTTAATCTGACTTTGCTTGCTTAGCTTTGTGTGTTGATTTTATTTATTTCTTTTTTTTTGTTGTCGTCTGCGATTGTGTTGCCGACCGTTCGTGGGACAATGAGCATTACGTGCATACGTATTTTGTTTTATGACTCTGTATTTTTTGTATTTTTCAAGATTTTTATACGCAGCAGAAGATAAAAAACTAAACRGATTCACAAAAAAATCAAATAACCAAAACAAGTTTGAAAATTCTGCCTCGAAGATCTTAACCATTTCCTGTTGTTGATTACGCAAAAGTTAGTGATTTCAGTAGTACCTGTTGTTTATTGAAAGTGAAAGCTGTCGGTGAATATGTGAATCTAGAAAAATCGATTATCTSTTTCGCTTTAAGTTCAACCGTCATCAAAGTCAACCAAGTTTCTTTTTGAACTCGATGGAATCTCCGCCAAAATTTACCTCGAGTGATCAAATCTGAAATTAATGATTTAAATTACCGATATTCGTATACACAAATCGAAGTATTGTTTTCTTTCATAATATCTTTAGGCCTGGCTACAACATGGCATAATGCTGTAAATAATTTAGTCGTTTTCAAGTAATTCTGGGAAAACCGATAATTTCTTAACCCAAAAGCAAGAAATGTAATCGTCTTAAAAATCATTGAGAGAATGAATTCTGTGATGAGCGAATATTTGGTCATATGGTTAAACGCTAAAGTTTTTATCGATGAAGTAATGGTTTTACAGCTTAAGGCTTGTTGTCCGCTGCAACCACCCTGCACTGATACGATTGACTTAAGAATCCAAAACTTCACGAATCGTTTGTAGATTCGGTTCACCATTGTTATTAACGTGGTGTGCATCTTTATTTTAAAAATAAAATGTTAATTTGAGATGCTATAATTCCCTTTGTACAAAAAATTCCATGATATTTTGATCAGCCAGTTTCTATGGCGGTTCTAAGGAATGGTTTCTATACAGAAATTGGATGATCATTTATATATCCGACGTTTTTTTCTGGGTRTTACATACTTCTTGTCTCAGTTTAGRGTAAAAAAATTATGCACAAATAAGCTTTCGATGTGTGATCCCCATCATACYATATTTTTCTCCAGAATTGTATGCGTTCGAAATAAAATATGCAATAATTTTGATTACATATTAAATACCACCCGTTATGGTGAAAATGTGTATAATCACTGCTTTGCAGCGCTCTGATCTAAAGAGCAAATCAAATCAGTTGAWGTCCAACATTTTCCCTCAGAGGAATACTCACCTTCAACGTGGTGTGATGCGAACAGTGTGAGTCCTTGCAGATTAAACATGAGTAAAATGTTCTTTAAGTAAATAAATTTATTTGAAAAAGTCAATGCTTTACCACCCGAATTACAACTATTTATATTATAAATAACACAAGTCTACAAATAAAAAGCGAAAAAAATCAACTGTCTTGGCTATGCGTGCATCGTTATCTTTGAAGGTACCTAAGTTTGAATTAGAAGGTAAAAAAAAAAACATCACGTACGGTTTTCCAGTTACATCAAAA